CAGTATATATGGAGGAAGACCTCAGGTGTTACAATTAAGTAATTATGTAAATGAAAAGTACCAGAAATATCTGATCATATTGTTCAACGTAGGTCCGAATGAAAGGCATGATAGGTTGTCGGACGAAGAGAATTTCATGTAAAGTTCATGATCCGTAGTTTTGTTATATTAGTTAAGGTCTAAGGAACTCAATTTTCAACACTTAAAAATTAAGTGGAAAATTGATCAATAAACAAGGAAAATATACTGTTCAAAATATATTTATATCTCCAACACCCTAATTAACCGAAGATTGTAACAAAAACATAACCAACTTAGCCCAGGACATTGAATTTGGTTTTAGTTCTAAATCTCTACACATACAGTCATACAATTTTGATTATAAACTCATAATTGTACTACTTGACTGAAAAACTTTTAACCAGTATTTTATAACATTAGACATGTGACTATTTTGTTCAGGTTTTCGCTTATTTTTTAAAATATTTTTCTAAGTTTAATAGACAAGATATGATATGATTTTATTTGCATGTTCTTAATAAAAGCTTGTAACAAAGGAATACCCTGTTTAGTTATATTATATTCAGTGTACCTTAAACAATTATCACGTCCTATCAATTTAACGCTTTTGTTTTCAAGGAGGCTTTCAGCGAATATCTCCCTGGCGATCGCTGTATATTTGCTTTATTGTTCGTTTTTGCAACGTTTGGGTAGGCGTAAGTCGTGTGTGTGGTCTGATGATGAAATGATCGACAAAATCTGTCGTCGGACGTTGTTTTTTTGTTTGTTTTGTTTTAAAAGTGCTTAATAGAATCCCTCTATTTTAAGCTTAGTTTTCGTAATGAATCATTTTAAGATACAATCGACATTAAATTGAAAATTATTCATGCAACAATTAAACCAAATTTTATCAAACCCTATTAATAATTGTTCTTTAAAGATTCCTAACAGGCACTTCTTGAAGAATAATAAATCAATGAATTGGATTTAAAAAAATCAATCAAAACTTTCAACAACTAAATATGGCATGTATACGAACATTTCTAGCAGTATTCCGTTGTCTCGTTTGTGATGACCTTATATTTTATCATTGTATTTGTTCAGATATATAAACACACATCCAGCTTCTGTATTTAAATCCTTATTGATTTCACCCATGAAATATGGTGCTATACCAATTAGATGTTTATCATATTTGTTAGAAAACAAATATGAAAAATAAATATGAAAGTGGGCGGAGTCAAAACTCATACTTTTTTGGGGGGACTACTTTCTCATATGATTTTCTGTCGCAGTCTGTAGCTCCAGCTACTCATTTCATTGGTTATGTTTTCGCAAAACAGTTCAAGATGGCTGTGATAAATTGTGTATTGAACTGCATCCCACACCTTTAAATAGTCAATGTATTACTGCGTGCTGTACAATGCAACTCCGTAACAAATGGAAGATTACGTACAGATTTTTATCTTGAAAGTAGATAAAATAAAAAGGTTATTTTTTTTTTTTCATTTTTTCGTGAAATATGGTATATACTTTCACTTAGCATGATAACATTCAAGATATTCACTCGCCGTTCCGACTAGTGAAAATATATGGAATTTAATCATGTTTCGTGAAAATATTTTCCATATTTCACTAAGACGAAAAAATATCCTCTCAATATTAAGATAAAAAAGCATATCATATTTACCTTTCAAACTGATTATTTTATCATTCTGATATTTGACGGGCAATATTGTAGCGCGGATAATTAGTTGTAAATTGTAATAAATATTTGTTACATTAAGAACTAAAGCTCAGCATCATGTAGACGTGGATTTGGAAGATTCCAAGCACCACAAATTATTTGTACATGTGCGTTGAAAAGACATTTGTTATAATCATAGAAACAGGTAGACACAATAATATTTATAGAAATGACCGGAAATGTACTTTCTGCAACAATAATGACATCGAAGAAGAATATCACTTTGTATGATTCTCTAAGGAAACAGTATATATCCAACTATTTTACAAGAAACCCTAGCATGTTTAATTTTTTAGAATTGCTGAATTCAGAAAGGAAGTCAGTGTTAACAAAATTAGCTATATATTGTAATAAAGCTTTTAAATTAAGAGTTGATTCATTGAATATCGGATAATGCTATATTAGACCACCTTGTTGTATTGTTTAAAGTTATATAAGGATTGTAAATATTACATGTGTTGTATTACACTCTCACTAGTTTATTTCATTTATTGATATGCGTTTACCATTTTTCATATTCATGCATGTATATATTTGTTGTATATGAAGATGAGCTGTTTATGCTTAATTCAAAATAAAATATATGTTCTGTTCTGTTCTGTTCTGTTCTCTTCTATAATCCGCACAAAATTAAGGGAGAAAATGACATTGGTTTATTTTGAAACACAGCTGTTGACAATTAATTATTCACTGAAAACTCATATAAAGAAGGATTCTGTCTACCAGTACAAAAGCTTAATTAGCTGTAAAGACAATCATTTGTAGATAAATTGGGTAATTAAAATCAGAGATTAAATTTATCACTATAACATGTTGTCTACTCTTATATTGAAAGAACTTTGTTACTGGTCATTGCTAAATAACGAAATTAACGTATCTACAAACAAACAGATGTAGTCAGTGAATTATTCATAAAAGTCTGTTCTATAGAATAATTTTCTACAAAACGCTTTTATTTTATGATTTTGAGAGTATTAATTATTTATTAAGTAACAAATATAAAGGTTTACTGTAGAATTGACGGAAATGTTGCCACTTGTTCCAATGTGATTTCCCACATATATTTTACTCTCAACACATGTTATCTACCAGAACCAAAACGTTTGTTTCAACAGACGCAATGATAAATGAACCGTGTCACGACAAAACCAACATAATGGGTTTGCGACCAGCATGGATCCAGATCAGCCTGCGCATCCGCGCAGTCTGATCAGGATCCATGCTGTTCGCTTACGAACTCTATTACAAGTAGAGAAAGTGATAGCGAACAGCATGGATCCTGATCAGACTGCGCGGATGCGCAGGCTGGTCTGGATCCATGCTGGTCGCAAACGCACTATGTTGGTTTTGTCGTGACGCGGCTCAAATAAAGATTATTTCTAACGATTAGAAATATTAGGATGTGACATAAATTTTGTTTTCAATGAGTTTATTGATTTAATATAGTTATAAACATGTTTAATGATTTTCGAATAATTGTCGCAAATTTTTCAGTCATTCGTTTTAACTATGTATGCAAAATTTGAATTCAAACGTTTCAAATCAGTTGAAATTCATATACATATAAAGGGTGACTTTTCATGAAGATTAATTAGTTAATGACATATTCTTTTTTATTAATAGAAGTCAATTTTATAATTATGCAAATTTGAAAAGCAGGCAACATATCCTTCGGGTGATTAAACATTATTCACGTAGGAATATTTGAAGGAACCAAGTAGCAAAAAATGCCGAAAAATAAATGTACCACAAACACAACAATAATGTCGTGCTGAATGTTCTTCAAGGATAGGAAATTTAACATCTCTGAAGTTGATTAGTGGCATACCGGAAAAATTTCTTACCATATATGTTTGTTCTTGGAAAAGGTACCTCAAAAGTATTAGTGTGTTTAAAAGTATAGTTAGAATGTTTAAGATGTAGTAAATCATTAAGATATTCTGGAGGATTCTGGAGACATATTATTTAAAATTGTGCATGTTTATTAAGCACTATTTCTTAATATTTCTTAACCTCCTAACTTTCAAAGAAATAAACCCAGACTTCTCAAGAAATCTTAAAGCTCTTTTCTGAATTTTCTCTAGTTTCCTCGTGTTTGATTCATTTGTAAAATGCCAAGTCAGAGGACAATAATTAAAATTTGAAAAGAGTGGTATATTGTAAGTCTGCTTCATCTATTCAGATGTTTATCAATTCTCTTCAGTACATTCAGTTGTTTAGAGGCTTTTTCTACAATTATTTGATACATATGAATTTAAATTTTAATTTACAACAACAACTTTACTTCATCCTCACAAGATATTTCTATATTTTTTTAATTTAAAATTATATTTCTGCTAATTAGTTTTCTTCCCAAGGGCTATTGCTTTAAACTTTTCAGGGTAAGCCTTCATTTGATTTTTTGAGAACCAGTCTATCAAAGTTAAACTTCTTTTCCTAGTGTTCTTACAACGTATTTTATATAAGTGCTTGATTAAGAATGAGTATTATCATTTGCAAAGTTATCATAGGGTACAGTTATCATGCAATGTTTAAAAACATTGAAAAATATATCAATATTGTACCACTGAAAATTATCCTTTCTGATATGCATCTGCTTTGAAATCATTTCAAAATATCTAAATTGCCTACCAAGTTTAATAATCGAAAATCACAGCACATAAAGCTACCTTATGTATACCAGTATATAAGAACTTTCCGTCCAGCTTTAAAATATTTGAAGCAAGTCGGTTCATAAAAACAAGCGTTCTCAAATAAACAACAAACAAAAAATAACATTATTTACTTAAAGCAAATGTTTATATATATCGGATATATTTATTGTCAAAGAAATACATTTCATTATTTTTGAAAAAAAATCATATAAACTGTGACACATAATGGAAAAAAAACAACATAATACAGTTAATTTCATATATTTTCAATGCCATCATTTTAATCGATCTTTATACATCAATTATTTAAGCTCAAATGTGAAGAGCAATTTTGGAGATTATTTCAACCATTCTGGTGCCAACTTCCAGAAACTAACAAGTACTTGTGTTATATGTGGCAACATTTCTATGGCCCAAGAATAGTTTCTAACTTCTTTTCCCTGGGTCGAGAGTTAGAATCTATACCACTAGACTTTGTTAAACCAATAAACTGGATATGTACAAGAACACAAAGGTGGCCAGCTATCAAACAAGGTCTTTATAGTAAGGGGTACAATTCATTGTTGAATTTAAAACATATCAGTTTATTCTATTCTGTAAAAAAGTTAAACTATGAACATTTAATGATTTTATGATTTTGAAAGTGTACATTTATGTAAAAGTCAAACATTTTAAGCACAAGTAAAAAAAAGGTACCTTAAGTCATACAGAAATAGAAGTAATTAAGTAGTAAAATGTAATACAGTAAATAATTATATATGTATGAAAACAGACATCATAAGCTTCTTATATCAAATATAAAAATAATGATATTAATAAATTCACAGATCATTAAGTCTTGAAACTTTCAAAATGTTACAAATGAACACTAAGATTGTTATATCATTTATTATGCTGCAATATTTACATTACAAATACAAATAACTGAATTCTTCTGAAAAATTCTAAATTGACTTTTAATACTTTTATACAAGGATAACTAGTAGCTCACATTTGTATCAATGAAGGCCACTTTCTGGAACTAACCGGTACTTGTGTCATATGAAGAGACATTGTTGGGACCAAAGTAGGGCTTGAACCCATAATCTCTAGGTCAAGTGATAGACAATTGTAACCACTAGGCCAACCCTCCCCATACTTTACGGGGCTTTACAGAGACATAGTTATGACCCTGGGTAGTGACAGACCATTGTAACTATTAGGTCACGTACTGCTTCCTATAATTTAGGGGTCTTTACATAAAAAGCATAATTATAAACATTCTTTAATACTAGTTTGTTACCATAACAATTGCACCAAAAAGGCCAAGTGATATAACTTTTGATAATAATTAAATTGAATCAATTAAGTGAGGACAATCAAAAATATTAGTACTGTAATAAAATGACAACTACCAATATTATCACAGGATAAAATGGTAGTTTCTAAGACAATAAAGTTTAAAATTAAGATATGACAATTTTTAATTGTAAAACAACATTTTGGACAATAACATTTTCATAAACATTAAAAAGTCTCATTTATCCAGGAACACAATGTTTGGTAAGAATGATTAAATGTTCTTTTTACTCTTTCATTCAGAGCTGTAGCACAACAATATAATTTAATATTTGCTTTAAGCAAATGTATGTAATGCACTGATGACCAGCCTTGTTACGCAAAACCGGTTTAATTAACAGATTACAGTGCATGTGTTATAAAATTACTTTAAGGTAAATTGCTATTGCGTAAGTACATATGGATCTAGATATGTATTATTTAATTTACATACATTGTATATAAATCTTATTTTATTCACATCATAAGTGGAGTAGCAAAATATCAAATTTTTAGATAAACTGTTATATTAGATTTAGAAATACATAATTTTTCAGGAACTCTTTACCTTAATAAATTATCAAAATAAGCAAGAAAAATCAGACTCACATACCAATACAGATTCCGAATGTCAACACAAATGTAAATAACTAATAGTTAATGCAAAAATGTCTGACTTCTGTGACCAGCAGAACTATAGAAATAATCAGGCCACTGTTATTATACAATTAAAATAATGCTGATTCATACAACATTGCACAAAACCAAAACTAACAATTTTTAATTATAATGCGTTGATATGCTCAGCTGTTAAGGGCAATGACTATCAATATCTTATTTTTATAAACATTCAAGTTAAGAAGGGACATATATTACTTTCATGAAAAAATATTGGTTAAGATCACATTTGAAATACTCAACAAGACAGTTTTGTCATTAATATCCTGAAAGAGAGACACAGGCACTATTTTCATATCTTAGTTTTGAATTTTTTCTCTTAGATTTATTGATAGAAATAGACAAGCAAATTCCCTACTTTTGCAATCTTCATTATAAAGATAAGACATTGAAATAATTAAGCTTTATTGACCTCAGGCCCATGGTAAAAATTGTTTTATGGCACCAGGCCCATGTAAAAACAAAAAATGTTTTATGGCCTTAGGCCCATACAAAAACAATATACATAACAAATCATTCATTTGGAAGCCAGTAATATGAGCTGACACTTCAACATGACATCAAAAACAAACCTTCATTACCACTCATTCTGTTCTCTTAACATACACATCATGTGCAGCAATACTTAACATATCTTATAATAGTTGAGATTTCTGTGTCATATTTCTATGACAACAATGTTTGTAAAACTATGGTTACTTTATAACTTCTTATATAATAAAGTTACACTATGTCAATATGTAAAATATATCAATACATGTTTATAATTTGTTTATAGTAGACTAAAATAACAAAACCAGTGTATATCAACATCAAAAAATTTATCAAATAAAGATACATAAAAAATGTTCAAATATTGTTTAATGGAACAATATGACCTAACTTCATTTGAAATGGCATCATGCACATTCAAGGGTATATAAAGTGTGAACGTGTGAAAGTCAAAATGAGTTTATAATTTGCCATAATTCCTTTCAATTTTATAATTTACTTTAAATGAACGATAAATATGTCACATTGGTCAAAGAAATTTTTGTAAATATCCACTTACCTGTAACGTTCAATTTATAAAAAGTTGGAAAGTCATTTACATTTTAGGCAGATTTATATTTTATCTAAAAAAATTTACAATATAAACTGTTGGCCAGTCACCATTATAACAGTAAATCTTCTGAAATACATAGTCAATTCAGCTCAAGTTGACAATGAGAAAAAAGAGCATAAATGTCACTAAAAGCTTTTTTAGAACAAAACTACACAATAAAATTTGGTCAATCAACCAACACCTTTTAAAGTATGTTAAAGTGATGTAGAGGTTGTATGTACAATTATTATCTCCCCTGTTCTTCCGTTATACACTCATCCAAAATTTTTCTCTATTTTGACATCCCAAGATGCAACACTTTTCTAAAAACCTTGTTTCCACCCCAGTGACCCCTGTAAAGAAATAACTAGAAATAAGACATTTTTAAATATATACATATATATACATTGTTTAATGCATATTTTAAAGAACACACATCAACAACCTTTACTAAATGATATCTTCTATCACTAAGATAAGGATGTGAAACAAGATGCCCATGAGGGATATAAGGATTGCTCACCTAACAAAAATGCTATAAAAGATCACAATATTCCTCAATGCAGAGTTAAGTAATAAGTAATAAATAGAGGATATTAAATGAGTGTAAGTTCAATACTGAATTAATTGCACGAGTTGAATAAAATTATATTATGCGAGCCTCTGGCGAGCATAATATTATTTTATTCAATGTGTGCAATAAATTCAGTAATGACCTTACACGAATTTAATATTCTATTTATCACATACCCAAAATAAAGACCGTTTAAAGTGAAATTAGACTAATTTTTTATTGACGCGCCTACAGTATAACGCCAACATTTAGCCCGTCTTTACACTATGTCTGTAAAACGCTAATGATGTCACGTCAAAATATATGCACGGCCGTGCAATACCATATTTACGGAGTTGCAAAATCAGCACGGGTGTGTGATAAAGTCATATTTGAACAAATACTTGACTACTTCCATACTGGATGGTAAAGGTAGGCAAAACTAAGTTAATGGATATTATTCTAGAAATATAGACATCATACTAGAGCTATTAACATGGATTCCCCCACATTCCACTGTTTGTTTGTTTGTTTGCTTGTTTCATTTTACGCCTTTTCCCCAACAGTATTTCAGTAATATAGGCGGGTAGTTTCCTAACCATCTTTCCTGGAGAGTTACACCAGTCCTAGACTACCTTCCTCCGCGCTAAACTACCAAAGCATCTTCCTGGGATCGAACCCACTGTTTTGCCAGTTTTCACAGCCTGTCAGTCAACAGATGTACCAATATACTGTTTGAGAGCAGGACAGCGTAAGACCGTGACAAGGTCAAAACAATATTTCCCCTTTAAGACTGGGGGCATAGAAAGTACTTACTTGACTAAAAGATTCCAGTAGATTTCAGGGAACACATTTTTCTTAAAGAAGTACATAGATCTCCTTTCCTTCGCCTGATTGACAGGAAATGTTTCCAGCGGCATACAGCTGAAGTCAAACTCTGCCATCACACATTTATTGTAGCTTGTCACTAGAGGGCAGGCTGTGTAGCCATCATACTATAGAATATATCACATAAATTAAAGATAGGTAATCCAGATTATTCCTAGTCAAAGAGAGATCATTATAATTAACCTTATACTCAATTCAAGTTGTAATGACAGAATAGTCAATGAGAGAATGAGTAGCAAAATCAAAGCATTATGACAGGAAAGATTTTCAATTGGAGACCATCATGACAAAATGAAACTTTAATCTAAGAAAACAGTAAAATAAGGGATATTTGGTATACAATGTAATGTAAGATTTTCAATCCCTATACTAAAATAACTTATATAAGACTGAGTAGTCCTGTAGTGTCAACAAATCTATCTAATTGAACTTTATTTTATGTCATTCACACATACATGTATCTTTGAACTTACATTTCAATATAAAACAGAAATATCTGCTTTGAACCAGTTCTAAACATTAGATCATTTAAGCAACTAGCAATCTATATATTGAATTCAAAGTCTGATTCTTGTTTGTAAGAAAGTTCTAAAGCTGATTTATAAAGGTTGATGATTATACAAGGTAAACTAGGACTGTGCATAAAATAGGTACAAAATGTATGGATCTGCCTTTAAGTGTGTATGTATTTGAGTTTATTTATACTTGCCATCGACTGCCTATATGATTATTAGAAGAGTACAAGTTGTTTAATATTTTAGAGGATAGTGCAAGATACAGATACGGAAAAAATTGACCCAATTTCAGAAGCTTCTCCAGGTCCTTAAACATCCCAAGTGTTTAAGTACTCATACACAGGAACTTGATTTAAAGTCTCAACCGAAAGACTGATTAGTAATTTTATTTGGATAGCCCGGGAATCCAACCCACAATGTCCAGATTACAAGTCTCACCCTTTAACCTATTGACTTTTAATAAAGCCTGTAATCAATATATAACTTAAGGAATGTAAAAAAACCTGCATATTTACAAACCAGCCTCATTTTGACCATGTTTCAAAACACAACTTTTTTAACAATCTATAAATAAAGAATTTACATTAAAAAACATCTTTCACACAGCAATAGATCTTTAAAACAAAGGGAGGTAATCAGAATACCTGTCCATTAGGAGATGTTCCTGCCATCACTGACTGTAAACTGTTAAACAGTATTTTATTCTGGGCACCTGAATAATTGAAAAGTTAATAACAATTTCATTTGAATAATATAAAACTACATGTATATAATAAGTCAGTGTCTCATGATTTACACACCATGTGAACATATTATGGTAACTATGAATATAACAATATCTCAAAGCACAATAATTTTTAGAACATCATTTTCTAAATGTTTCTTAACCCATATATGAAATAATATGTAAGATAACATTAATCATGAAAATTGGAAAAATAATTAATGAAAATAAATTTCAGTAAATCTCACATTTTTGACAAAACTGTATCTGCTAATTTCTAATTTGTATCATAAATGTTGTATAGTACTCTAGTAGACATTTCTAAAACAATGAGAGAACTTTTAATTTCATAACAATGAATCATATTCCTTGAGAGTACTGTATAATATCTAATTAATACACAGTCAAACATTATCAGAAACCCAAAATTTGAGCATATGCTAAATTTAACATAGCTTGCCATTGGACAGCACAATCAATTATTCTCAGTGCTTGACTGTCAGAAAAAGGACATAACTGTAAAAAGATAACTTTAGAGTTATGTGCCCATCTTGTAAGATAAACACAGAGAATAAGTGTGTGAAGTTTCAACCAATTATCTTCAGCTCTTTTGGAGATACCAACTTGCAAGCAAAAACTTAACCAGAGACTGATGCCAACTCCGACACAGATCCCTGGATGAGTACAACTGTTTTCCCTATTCTTTAAATAATCGAGCTAAAACAGTTTTCTAGATATATATACAATAATTATGATGATAACTAAATGAGCCGCATCACAACAAAACCAACGTAATGCGCGCATCTGCGCAGTCTGATCAGAATCCATGTTGTTCGCTATCAGTTTCTCTACTCGTTATACGGTTTGTAAGCGAACAGCATGGATCCTGATCGGACTGCGCGAATGCGCAATCTGGTCTGGATCCATGCTGGTCGCAAACCCATTATGTTGGCTTTGTCGTTACGCAGCTCAAATAAGAACATACCAACTGCTGCAGCAGTTTTGGCTGTAGGAATGTTTGTACAATCACCGAGACCAAACACGTTCTCATAATTACTGTGCTGCATGTTGAGTTGGTTTACATCCAGAAATCCCGCACTGTCTACAAACTTGGATGGGGCATTCTTAAGCTGATCTGGGGCTGACATAGGTGGCGCCACATGCAGGAAGTCGTACTGTAATGTATAAATGTGTCAAAATATAGGAAAAAATGTGCATGTTTTTTAATGTAATTCAGCAGGTATTTAAAAGCTGGAAAAAACAACATTTTTCCAGTTAGGTATTCAATATCATAATATAATAACATAAAACAAGACAAAAACTCTGAACCTCAGCTTTAATATTTATCACAATTATTGTCTACATGTATAGTTTGTCACTAACATTGAAGCTAACATAAACAGTATATCAGTTACACTCTAGTGAACATAAACAATTTATCCTTTACACTCAAGCTAGCAAAGACACTCTACCTTACAATACAGTTTATCTTTTACGCTCTAGGTAACAAAACAGTTCATCTTTTACATTCTAGCTAACATAGTCAGTCAATCACTTACACTATAAGTAACATATAAACAATTTATCACTTACACTCTAGCTAATATAGTCTGTTTATCATTTATACTCAAGCTAACTTAGTCAGTTTATCACTTACACTCTAGCTAACATAAACAGTTTATCACTTACACTCTAGCTAACATAAACACTTTATCACCTTCCCTCTAGCTGATATAAACAGTTTATCACTTACACTCTAGCAAACATAAACAATTTATCACTTACACTCTAGCTAAAATAGACAGTTTATCACTTACACTCTACCTAACAGAGTCAGTTTATCACTTACACTCTAGCTAGCATAGTCAGTTTACCACTATAGCTAACAAATGAAGTTTTTCACTTACACTAACATTAACAATTGATCACTTACACTCTAGCTAATGTAGTAAGTTTTAGCCAACATATTCAGTTTATCATTTACACTTAAGCTAACAAATATAGTTTATTGCTTACATTATAGCTTACATAAACAAATTATCACTTACCCTATAGTGAACATAAACAGTTGATCACTTATAGCTAGCAAAGAGTTTATCAGTACACTTTAGCTAACGTGAACAATCTATCACTGACACTTTTGCTAACATAAACAGTTTATTACTCACACTGTAGCCAACATAGATGGTTTATCACTTACACTCTTGCTAATGTAGTCAGTTTATCACTTACGTTCTAGCTAACATAGTCAGTTTATCATCTATACTTTAGCTAACATAGACAGTTTATCACTTACATTCAAGCTAACATAGACAGTTTATCAATTACACTCTAGCTAACAAATACAGTTTATCACTTACACTCTAGCTAACATAGTCAGATTATCACTTACACTCTAGCTAACATAAACAATTTATCACTTACACTCTAGCTCTCTAGCTAACATACTCAGATTATCACTTTTATTCTAGCTAACATAGAATATAGACATTTTATAAACTTACTTTATGAGTTTGCTCTTCACCAGTCTCACTGTCCAGATATTCAATAGTCACTGTCTTTTTTCTGTGATCAACAGCTTTTAGACTTGTTCTAAAGTTTACATGTATATCCCTACAATGAAAAGAATACAAAAATAAAACATGCTACTACCTAAAATCCTTAAACTGCACATTTACCATCAGACAGCCTGCAAAGATAGCATGGATTTAACCATGTTGCTTTCAAAGTTTCCTAAAAAGAACAAAGCAGCAACATGCAATACTTTTGATATAAATCCTTATACACACAGGCACGAGTATCGGACCTGGGAAGAAAAAATATGACCAGATTGATAAAAAAAACCTGTGTTCATCTTAAAAGTGTCCAAAAAAAACAAAACAAAAATGTAAATAATGACCCCCTTAAAAAATATACTATAAGTTAAGATATACTCTTAACTTATAGTATATTTTTAAAGGGGGTCATTATTTACATTTTTTTTGGTTTTTTGACACTTTTAAGATGAACACAGGTTTTTTTTATCAATCTGGTCATATTTTTTCTTCCCAGGTCCGATACTCGTGCCTGTGCTTATACAGTGTACTCTAGTCTATTGGTAGCATATAAATCAAATAATCAAATAATGTAATTATTAAGTCAACAGAACTAAAATTGTATCATCACTAATTTCATGGTAATGGCATATTTGCATGTGGCAGGTACACATGAACATTCTTCCAAATTGACCTATTTTAGTTAAACACCTACCGGTAAATAACAAAGTTTTCTGGCAAAAATGGATGTGCCTGAAGCAATCTTTTATTATTTTTTTTTTTTTTGTAGAAAAAGATTAAAACCCTAAACATGAAAAAAATGGGGGTGTAACACCATTTACCATGATATTAATAAAAATCAGGTTTTAAAAATGGCCAACACATGGCCTATGTCTAGCGATAAAATCAGCTTTTGATTAAATATGTTGTTGTTTCCTTGTGTCATGTATCAGAAACTAAGTCAGGTTATAATTATATGTATTATCAGTGTAATGTTTCCATTAAGATTTAAAGCATTACTCCCACAAACAATGAGGTGAACAGTGTAAACCATATTTTCACTGATTAAAGTTACAACACATTTATTATACCACAATAAGTGATTATGTTATCATAAAAAGACAATATGAACATGAATGGTAGTGTGATCTGTAGAAATATAAAATATCTCTCACTTTCTCTTCACTATCTCTCTCAATGTGGCAGCATACTTGTCCACACCAAACATTTTACCAAGTGAAGTAAAATAGTTGATTTCTGCCTTGTCTCTAACGCCATGCTGTAATTATAAAATACTGGCATGTGAATTAAGGAAATATGGATAAGCAAGTTATTTGAGATTAAGAAAGAAACAAAATGAATAACTCATGCTCAACACCCATTAATTTACTTTTTAAACTCATCTGAACTCATCCACTATATAATTAACTGATGAATTTTATTATACCTTACATAAACTTTTTACTATATAACCTTATTAATGCGACATCACATGGTGTTACATGTATTTCAATCTATCATCCTGGAAATTAATATTACCCGTTCAATATTTCCCAGGGACGAGTAATCTAATTTATTATCTATATAGACTTAAGAAAACATAATGTTCTAGTTCTCTCCCCTAGCCGCCCTGCTCACATAAACTTTTTACTGTATTAAAATATTTGACTATGTTAAAATGTTGGTTCAGTAAAATAATAAAAATATTACATGTCTCTCATGGTAAATAGTGCAAATTGGCAATCCTTGAACTGAAATATATCCAAGGCGGAGCCGATGGTGTTATTTCATTTCTCGGGTGGGTGATATGCGCTCATACTCTGAGAGATATGTCTTGTTATTCTTATAAGAAAATATTTACTTTAATATGTGTAGATTATCCAGACATTCAAACTACCTGATTTTACCTACCATGGATTCTACACATTTTACATATTTACCTTTCTCCAAAACTCGTCAGCTAGGTACATGATTTTCTGTGGTGCTCCTGCACATTTGATTGGTGTATTAGGAAAGGTAAATACTGCATTACCTCCCTTGAAGTTTTGCATGGCGGTGAATGTTTTACTTGCCATATCAGGAAGATATATGCTGCCAACAAGTGGGTCATTGTTTAGAGCATCTACCAAACCTTCCACCTGAAAATTATTTAATAACTGTAACAATTTTCTATCCTCACAAACTCTACAAGTAATGCACCTTTTTCATGCTTTACATGTGATTTTGAAATATAATTTTATTGCTATGTTTTTATAATGAAATTACCTGTACATTCATTACAGTCAGTTGTCAGCCCTTTTTAAGTATGGTTCTTAGAGTCATGAACATTAAATATGTGCAAAAACAGGGCATGCTTGCATGATTTTTATCAATTAAAGCATGATTTAATCTCCGAAAATGTTTACCTGTTTGCACATTTTATGCAAGAAAGTTTAATTATAACATTTTTCTATACTTAACAGCCATTTGAGCTTCCGAAAAAATAAAGAGATTATTCTAAAAAGGACCTTATGGTACACAAAAATGTATGTGGTAAACATAAACCCTATGATATATGGTAAACATAAATCCTATGATATATGGTTTTAAACCAATGGTTTATATAAAACCTATTATATACAGTAAACATAAATCCTAAGATATATGGTAAACATAAACCCTATGATATATGGTAAACATAAATCCTAGTAAGATATATGGTAAACATAAACCCTAAGGTACATGGTAAACATAAACCGTAAGGTACATGGTAAACATAAATCCTAAGATATATGGTAAACATAAATCCTAAGATATATGGTAAACATAAACCCTATGATATATGGTAAACATAAATCCTAAGATATATGGTAAACATAAACCCTAAGGTACATGGTAAACATAAACCCTAAGGTACATGGTAAACATAAACCGTAAGGTACATGGTAAACATAAACCCTAAGGTACATGGTAAACATAAATCCTAAGGTATATGGTAAACATAAACCCTATGATATATGGTAAACATAAATCCTAAGATATATGGTAAACATAAACCCTATGATATATGGTAAACATAAATCCTAAGATATATGGTAAACATAAACCCTATGATATATGGTAAACATAAATCCTAAGATATATGGTAAACATAAACCCTAAGGTACATGGTAAACATAAACCCTAAGGTACATGGTAAAACATAAACCGTAAGGTACATGGTAAACATAAATCCTAAGATATATGGTAAACATAAATCCTAAGGTATATGGTAAACATAAACCCTATGATATATGGTAAACATAAATCCTAAGATATATGGTAAACATAAACCCTATGATATATGGTAAACATAAATCCTAAGATATATGGTAAACATAAACCCTAAGGTACATGGTAAACATAAACCGTAAGGTACATGGTAAACATAAATCCTAAGATATATGGTAAACATAAATCCTAAGATATATGGTAAACATAAACCCTATGATATATGGTAAACATAAATCCTAAGATATATGGTAAACATAAACCCTAAGGTACATGGTAAACATAAACCCTAAGGTACATGGTAAACATAAACCGTAAGGTACATGGTAAACATAAATCCTAAGATATATGGTAAACATAAATCCTAAGGTATATGGTAAACATAAACCCTATGATATATGGTAAACATAAATCCTAAGATATATGGTAAACATAAACCCTATGATATATGGTAAACATAAATCCTAAGATATATGGTAAACATAAACCCTATGATATATGGTAAACATAAACCCTATGATATATGGTAAACATAAATCCTATGATATATGGTTTTAAACCAATGGTTTATATAAAACCTATTATATACAGTAAACATAAATCCTAAGATATATGGTAAACATAAACCCTATGATATATGGTAAACATAAATCCTAAGATACATGGTAAACATAAACCCTATGATATATGGTAAACATAAACCCTAAGGTACATGGTAAACATAAACCGTAAGGTACATGGTAAACATAAAAACCATATCTGATATGCCAGACATTACACCTTCAATCTAATGCCTGAGTAATACCAAACATTTCTTGAAAAATTCATTAATTTTAAACAGGAAAGGGTAAGATACATTTACATCTTTCTTACCTTGTTTAAATCTATCTGTATCCCTAAAGCTACTACCAAGTAATCATAACTTATCTGAAAATAAACAAAATCTTTAATTTAATACATGAAATTTATAACACATAACTAAACAGCTAAAAGACTTGTTCACTCAGTGCTTTGGAACGATCAAACTTCATTCATATTTTTTTTCCATATAAAATACAATGGTTTAGTTAATATGCTAATGATATTTGTAACTTTTTAGCAAACTCTAGCACGTCACCAACAATAAAAAGCTTTTAGGAAATAAAAAAAGAAGTTCTGGGACATAATGGTCTTTAAAAAGGTTTGCACCTTTTCATAATCCCTTATGTACAGACTCAATCAAATCGAGTCTGTAATTTTCATGTAAATTTGTTGTGATTAATGCTTCCTAGGGATCAATCTTTCTCCACCTTTTTTCTTCTTTTTAACTTTTATGATTTATTTGCAACTAACTTTATGTCTGGTTTTCATTTATTAGTTAGGTCATCTTTAATTTTTGTTATGACTTCTTTTATAAGACTTAGTAAGGCCTAACTTTGATTATATTGTTTTGCTCAATGAATTGAAACAGGAAAAGAACACTTTCAAAAGTACTGTTAAAAATATAATCTTAACAAGAGCTGTCCGTAAGACAGCGCGCTCGACTTTTTTATTGCTTGCCAATAAAAAAAGTTTTTGCAGTAAAAGGCAATACAAGAATCTCTGTATTTTTAAAGTGAACAATGGCCATGAGCATTAAGATATTTAGTGAAGAATTATTTTATTATGACATAATTTATGGTAAAGTGAACAAGTGGATAGGAATGAATTTTTTTAGATTTTTTAAGTTTTTTAGTGCTTGCCTATAATACAAAACATTGACAGTTAAGGGCCATAATTCAAATAAAATCTTTGACAGAATTACCTTCTCCTGGACATGTTTGGGAATCATGATTGTAAACAAGTATTCCAACTTTCAAATTAATATCTCAAACAGTTCAGTCAAAAAAGTGGACTGGTACTAAAAACTTAACCAAGATTCTAAGTCGATAAAAGGCCTTAATTTTTAAAACAAATCCTTGACAGAGTTACCTTCTCTTGCGTACAGATGGGGGTAATGATGTGAAATAGCATTAAAAGTTTCAAAGCAATATCTCAAAGGGTTAAGGCAATAAGTGGATTTTACCCATATTCAATGTATTTTCTAAGTCAAAAAGGGGCATAATTCTGTCAAAAAACCTTGACAGAGTTATGTCCTCTTGTCTGTTGATGAAGGTCGTGATGGTAAACAAGTATGGTCAGTTTCAAAGCAATACCTCCAATGGTTTTGAAATAAAGTGAGGTGGTACAAAAAACTTAACCAAGCTCAATACACTTTCTAAGTCAAAAAAGGGCCATAATTCTGTCAAAAACCTTGACAGAGTTATGTACTCTTGTCTGTAGATGGAGGTTATGATGGTGAACAAGTATGGTAAGTTTCAAAGCCATACTTGTAATACTTCTGAAATAAAGTGGGGTGGTACGAAAAACTTAACCAAGGTGTGACGCCGACGCCGACGCCGGGGCGAGTAGGATAGCTCCCCTTTTCATAGAAAAGTCGAGCTAAAAATCAATCTTTTAGAATATTTACTGTACAAAAACCAAAAATGTGTGTTTACTGAATATCTTGTTCCTGTCTGACCTATGTGTCCTTGGAGTACAGAAATAATTAATTCACTCAAAAATACTCAATGTACTAAATAAACTCAATGTGCTATAAATAATCAAAATAGAAATAAAACAGAAATAGAGTAATGTTTTAAACACTTTATCAAGACAGGTTTCGGTTTAGTTGTTTACCAGGGATATAATTATGTTTCAAGGCTACACTGGCCTACATATTGTATTAACTGCCCCAGATACAAGAGCAACGTGCTTGCAGGTTATTTACCTTCTCCTGGTTATTTCAAATTCCAGACATGAAAAAGTAATACAAAATAATACTTTTATATAATATTAAAAATGTGTTTGTTATTCAGTATATCATTTAACATATTTTTTTCATTATGAATAAAACTTAAAAATTCTATTTATAAAGATCTAAAGAAATATAATAAAATATATCCAAATTATATAATGAGTGTTTATTTATAACATATTCAACTATTTCATGAATAAAATTTCAAACTCATGTGGTAAAACATACATTTGTTCTAATTTTAATTTAATAAATGATTCATTTTCTGTAACAAAAGCCTAATTGTTATTTGTTTGTTTGATTGGGTTTTACGTCACACCGACACAGTATAGGTCATTTGGCGACGTTCCTAATTGTTAATGTCAGGTATAACAACATCATACTCAGGCAATAACATGCAAAAAATATTTGAAAACAACAAAATATCTGGTTGCCTAATGTTGCCTATGTACATAAATATGATTTTCCAAAGTAGCTAATAATAGATAATAAATGTTTTTTCAGCACTAACATTTTATTCTTGGCTGACAAATTGTTCTGTATACATGAATGTGTAACATTTCACTGAGATTTTAAATGACAGACATGGTGTTAAAATAGATCAATACTGACAATAACAATAAAACACTTCATAAACCAATCCTTTAATCATGAACTTTTGTTAATGTCAAACAGAACAATTATATATGTGGTAACATAGCATCATATGTTACATGGTGCATTGAGAACAGCACACAGCCTGATTTTACCAACTATACCCTCTGATTATCATGCTGGGATCACTTAATCATTGTATTAACTTCCCTTTGTGTTTGATCAACATTATATAATTTAACACATATCATTTTATAACTTTTAAATCTATGACTCATCTGACAGATGAGAAGTAAACAACCAATTATAGTGACAAAACTAATAGATTATTTATCAGCTGTGTCCTAAACACTAACATAACACATTCATATTAAAATGTTTTTTGGTTTTTTTTCTTTCTAAATGTAGGGGGAAGAAATATTGAAAGTATTCCAACTTAATATTTGATAACAAAGCTATGTTTTATTTTTAGAAAGAAAACATTTTCAAGGTTAAAGCATATAAATATGTTTTTTCTCATTAAATGGATTGATTTGATGTGTTTGTTTTGTTTGGTTTTATGGCGCACCAACACAATTTTGGTCATATGGCACCAAAACAGCAAAGATGATTTAAGCTAACCTCAGGTGTTACAAAATTAAAGCAACACCAGAGGTCAAAACCATCTCACTGGCTGAAGCTGAGAGATGCATAGACTGCCCTAATTCCAACCCATTTAGTCACCTCTTATGATCACGCAGGGATAAATGGTAGCTTCAATTCTGATGCCTCAACCCTTAAAAGGCAACCCCTCAGCCACAAAGGGGAAATGTGGTATGTAAATATTAAATTGAAATTTACTGATATATTAACAGTATATATACAAACCTTCTTGCCATTCCCCAGTGTTACTGTATTCCTGTCAGGATCAAACTCTGCCACCTTCTCTGCAAGATGATCACAATTTTTAGGTAATACATCTTTCATAGGCCTGGCTGTCTGTTCCACTTTCTTAATCCCAGCACCAACCAATGTCCACAATGGCTGGTAATAATGGGTCTGAAATGTTTACAAAATATATGTTGATAGATATATTTCCTTTTTTCATGTGGTAATTATATTTACCACAACAATCTGAATGGTATTTATATCATGTCTTAAACATTTATGCATATCAGCTCTCTTTGTTCAATATTTGAAGACTCATCAGTATAACTAGTTAATTTAAACTTTGTAGAAATGTTATTCAGATCTGTTGCTTAAAATATTAATCATGTATAGAAACAGTAAAGGAAATCATGATTTTCCCTTAATTAAACTTAAAATAAACTTCACAATATCTTGTAATGCTTGGTTTAATATCTGTTAACATTGTCAATGTATTTAAACACTGGTTAATTATGAATTGTGTAATTATAAATATATACCTTAGCAGGTTCTATGACAGCAACATTTCCTTGGCCTAGTGCACGTACAGCACGTGCCGCAACCGCGCAGCCACCCGCACCCCCTCCAGCTACCACAACTTTATAATGGGCAGTGTCAGTCTTACTGCTGTACTTCCGGTTTATCTGCACGAGTAACGTTCGTAATTGACGTGCATTTGTTAATTTCAACATTTTAGAGGAAATACGGTATGCCTGTCTCCTCAAACCGAAACTCGATCAATGTTTATAATCCGCAGCACGTTCCAATTTTATTTAAGAAAATATTCAGTTTTTACTACTCGTGCCTGTGTTTTTTACTATGAACACAAAGCTTTGCCTGATAATTTAAATATATATTAGCATTTTATCATATTATATCCCTGCCAGTAACGTATGGTAAAGTTACACGTTGTTGTTTACGTTTTCCAAAAGTAGTCAATGATTGTCGTTCTTTCTCACTCTCCTTAACACATTACTCAGTGTATCGCTTCCTGTCGAGCATGGCGAAACCGATACTAAGTCGTTTGAAAAAAATAATATTGTGTTGTTTGCTTAAAATCTTTCCAATTAAGGTTTAATTACTTTCATATTTTAATAATTTCATATGCATATTAGGCCAGGTAACAGATCAAAATTGAAAGATCTGTTCACGGACTGCATACAGACTTTCTATATCCTATGACACCGGCTTAATCCGGCGAAACTCAACAATTAAACATGAAAATGATTTTGCAATGTGTTTATATGGAGGGACCTTCAATGCGGCAATTTCATGCCATGTTCACCAAGCACAGAGCTGTATTATTATAAGTCACACTATCTGATGTTATAAGGTCTGTATTCCACAGACAAAATTAAAGTAGCAGCGTTTAAGTAAAAGTTCAAAAGATGGAGCTAAATATACTACAAATTACCACACTTTTATACTTGTATTAACGATATTTAATTAGGGATCGAAAAGGTAACATCTATGTACATCTCCTACATGATACAAACTACACTGATGTAACAATTAATTTTCATACAATTTCTTAATATTTGCATGTATATTTTCATCATTTATTGAATGTTTATTAAAAGAAAAACAGCACAAATGTTTCATATGGCGACTGATTTATATATGAGCCGCGTCACGACAAAACCATCATAGTGAGTTTGCGATCAGCATGGATCCAGACCAGCCTGCGCATCCGCACAGTCTGATCAGGATCCATGCTGTTCGCTATCAGTTTCTCTACTTGTAATAGGGTAGATAAGCGAACAGCACGGATCCTGATCAGACTGCGCGGATGCGCAGGCTGGTCTGGATCCATGCTGGTCGCAACTATGTTGCTTTTGTCGTGGCACGGCTCAATTATCTTTGTGATGTCGCCAGGAGAAGCACTAAATATGTTACTGGCGAAATGAAAACCCTTAAAAAATCAGCCTGTATTTGTTTTGAAAAAGATCATCTCGAAAAAATGGAACTAAAATTTTATAAAGACTATTCAAAAGCATCCATATTATAATATAGATTTTTAACAACATGAGTGTTGGCGCGTGCTGGTTGCGCGTGCTGTCATCATAATGAAAATGACAATTTAGATAAAGCTTTGAAAATACCCTCGACAATATGTTATGCGAGCATAATGCATATTTATTAAATAATCATTGACATATTCAAAATAATACATACTAACACACCACATCGCATAATATGATATCCATTCAATGAATCATGTTACCAGGTTAGCATTGGCCAAAATATGGTTCAAATTACACCGTATAATATGTCATGATCAAAATATTTATTCCAATCTAGTGACCTGTTACATAACAGTAACTATGATACTATTTATGAACTAATACACATTTAAACATACCCTTTGAAATAAAAGACGAGTTGAAAGACAAAATGTATATTGTACAAAATAACAATAGTTTATAAGTAAAATCGAACAGAAGTATATTGTCGATAAATTTCATTCCATATTTCGAAATACTCAGTTGTACATAAATCTGAATCTATAATAAGTCTCAGGATTATGTTAATTAGGACGTAATTAAGTTACGTCGACAAAATTCACATCTTCATTGAACGTTCTTTTAATCAGCAGCATGAAAAGTTGTTCTATCTGCACATCCAAAGATGCATCGCTTTCCTGAACGGCTTAGGTCCGCCCCACTTACCACTGCAAACAATATTTAAAATGAGATGTAAGTTATGCTATTTTGATATTAGTTTTGAATTAGCACGCTAAAAACTTAACATCGTAAACGTTATAAACGCTAAAGAAGTCTACAGTGCACAACAACCTTAACACTGTAAAAATGAAACAAACTGTTAAACTGAACCTGCAATATCATGAAAATATTTCACAATGCACATGCTCTACATAAAGTTATTAAATAGAAATATAAAAACGTACACACTTGAGCCGTGTCACGACAAAACCAACATAATGGGTTTGCGACCAGCATGGATCCAGACCAGCCTGCGCATCCGCGCAGTCTGATCAGGATCCATACTGTTCGCTTACAGACCCTGTAGCGAACAGCATGGATCCTGATCAGTCTGCGCGGATGCGCAGGCTGGTCTGGATCCATGCTGGTCGCAAACCCATTATGTTGGTTTTGTCGTGACGCGGCTCATTTGATTGCACTGTGTGATAAGACGACGTCACTCACCGGCGTCGCCAATAATAATGAAATCATTGGCAACGCTAACCCGATCTGCCTAGTTTTATGAATGGTGGAAAGGAGCTGCGGTCCTTAAAACGTTGGCTTGATTAAAGCAGAAGGAGTTTTATCAGGGACTTTACTAGCTAAAGATACTTCAGCGAACAGGTTTTATAGTTCTGCTAGACGCAACGTCAAAATAAAAGCGACATATAAAGTTATGGAAGCCAGAACTAGGACTTTACTAGGGATTTAGTGTCCCTAAAGTCAAAGGATTGGTTAGTGGTCCGGTTAACAATTGTATGAACATTGGATAATAGTAACTTACTTGACGAACAATCGCCAGTATAGCTGTGGCATTACGTCTTTCTTCACATAGAACATCGTTCGTCTTTCTTTCCCTTGGTCAATAGGAAACGTCTCTAGCGGGTTGCCATCAAAATCGAACTCGGCCATTATACAAGAATGGTACCCGGTTATAAGAGGACATGCTGTGTACCCGTCATACTGTGTAAATATTATATAATCAAAGTGTCGTTCTGGAACATATCTAAGTTTGTATTATAAACATTTTTAAGCTGTGTTCTTCTGAAAATAATGTTTTCATTGCAAACAAACTATCATTTATAATTTATAAGTTATCAATTTACTCATTTAAATATTTTTATTCAGAGGCCCGACATGGTCTTTGATGATGTCAGGTGGGGGGGGGGGGGAGACGTGATACAAGAATATATATTAGTGATTAAATAACTCCATCAATATTCTGAAATGATATATAAAACTTACTTTTCCGTCGGGTACTTTTCCTTTCATCACTTGACACAAACTGTTCAGTAAAATTTTATTCTGTGATGCTGCAAAAATCATAAAAAGAAGAAATAAAGATAATCGTAATATCATTAAGAAAAGAACGTCCAGCATGGCAAAATTAAGTATTGCAAACTCGATATGATTTCAGATTGTACATAATTTTATATACATGTAGACGGTTATTACGAAATCAGTTTATGCAGCGCCGGCCTCAATTCAAATAAATGTTGTTTAACTTTGAAAATATCTGCAAATGTGTATATACGATGGTCATTATTGAACCTTTGAAAAATGTGATTTTTATGCCATTCCGACAAACGACGCATGGTCATCCGCAACCCCCCCCCCCCCACACACACACACACACCCAATTGAACAAAATCGTGAATCTAATTTAATTGGAATCTTGATAGGGGATCAGGTATGATCGAAGACACTTCAAGCCCTTCAAAGTTATGTAGGAAATATAACGTACACACGAGTAAAACGTACAGTAGTAAGAAAGGGGGCAATGAAGGTCTTTTTTTCGTCCTTCAGATTGTGTTTGCCAGAACGAATGAATCAGTAGAAAATGTTTTTGTTGTTGTTTTTTAGATGAAATTATTTTACAATACTGACCGACTGCAGCGGCTGTTTTAGATGTGGGTACACTTGTACAATCACCGAGACCAAAGATGTTTGGATATTTGTTATGTTGCATTGTGTACTTGTTAACGTCCAGCCAGCCGGCCTCATCAGTTATTTGTGAGGTAGAGCACTTCAATACATCCGGGGCAGACATAGGTGGAACAACGTGCATAAAGTCATACTATGATAAAAACAAAACAATAAACACGCTATACTGGTATTAACCAACATTCAATGTACAAAGACTACAATCTGCTTCAAACTTTTGTATCTATGTTGTATTTTGATCTTTTTTCTATCTTACACAAAACAAAAAACAAAAATAAAAAACAACATCAAATACAAAGTTGCACTGATTTTAAGTAATCGATAGTATATTTCTAATAAGCAGCACTAGAATTAAGATTTACTTACATTGTACGTCTCCTTGTCACCGGTGTCTAAGTGCTCGAACACGGCCAGTTTCTTCAGATGGTTTACCGACGTTAGATTTCGTCTAAAATTCACCTCAATGTGTCTACAAACAGTTGAAAATATATAAATATATTACATACTATAAGATAATAAAAAGTTGTTGGTTTTGTAATGTTTTTTTTTTGGGGGGGGGGGGGGGTGCGGATGGGGGCTTTTGGGGGGGGGGCTTTACATAATTCTGGGAAAATACTAAGAACATTATGTCTCAATTGCATGCACATGAAGAGATTTCATAAAATGATTTTAGCTCAAACATTGAATAAGCATGATTTAATTTCAGAGTTCACTTACTTCCGGTCAATTATCTTCAACAGACGCTCAGCGTATTTCTTAACCCCAAATATTACACCCAGAGACGTGTTAAACATTATTTTTGTTTTGTCTCGGACACCATGCTGAAGATAAAAACAATATCAAATATTCAAAATATCAGAAAATGTAATTATTTAGTAGTACTTTAAATCTTTTTATATCTAATTATATTTTTTTCCTTAGATTTTAATTTAATAAATCATACTTTACATATGTCTTTTTCATATCTTTTTTTGAATAACATTGCAGTCAGCATATCAGGGGAGTGTCCCCGATAATGTTGTTATAACTTTTGGCCCAACCCTTTTGAATATTTGCATTAATGTATTTATGTATTATTGTGAAAATTTATGTATGCAAATCTGCAAAACATTTTTTTTTTTCGGTTAGAAACTCATTGTGATAAAATGGGAAGCAAGTTACTGTTGTTAAAAAACCACACAACCACACAAATCACGAGGTTCAAACCTACATTTACGTAGCGGCTAGTTTAATTCTAGTGCAACCTCTCTACTAAAGAAGGATGTTGATATAACCGTAAATCATGATCTTGGTGTCGATGAGTCGTAAAATAAGTGCAACTTTTTACCATAAATAATCATTTATTATTCAGACAGGTTTTCAAAGGTAGACATTCATGATCAAATATACATTACATTAAAGATTTTATCAGTAAGACTTGTTCACTAGATGTTATTTAACTTACATTTCTCCAGTACTCGTCTGCCAAGTACATGATTTTCTGCGGTGCCCCGCCACATTTGATAGGTGTGTTTGGTAAAGTAAAGATGGCGTTACCTCCCCGGAAGTTCTGTATAGCCGGGTATGTCTTAACTACCGTGTCCTTCATATAGTTGCAGCAGACCGTTGGGTCGTTCTTAAACGCTTCAACAAGCCCTTCTACCTACAATTTAGATGTTTGTGATGTTAATGAGTGAGACATTTTAGAGAACTTGAAGATTTTCCGGCATACGGTACATTCTTAAACTTTACTTGGTCCGGGGCCTTACTGTGTGGGCATGGCCAGTGTATTCGTTGTTTATGTTGTTGTTGTTTTTTTGTTTGTTGTTGTTTTTTTTTTTTTTTTTTTTTTTTTTTTTTTTTTTTTTGGGGGGGGGGGGTTGTTGTTTTTGTTTTTTTTTTTTTAAAGAAAACATAAAATATAAAAGACAGTTTTATTGCTACAGTACGGAAATATGACCATGTTGAAAATAAATCCATTTGTTATTCAGTTGCGAAAGTAAGAAATGTGTTTAGAAATAGTGAATTTTATTAAGTTAATTTTGTATTTGTTACTCAGACTTAAAGTCAAACAACTGGTACTGCCACTTTAATTTTGTATTTACGGTATGAGCTTGTTAATGTTATGTGAAATCTTCTCTGTTCATTTGTAATCAGACCAAGTCTGCATTTTTATATTTGCAAATAAATGGCATTTGATTATATTAACATCAGTCGGACAATCAGCTAAAATGCTTACCTTGCCTGGGTTAATCTGAATTCCAAGGGCAATAACCAAATAATCATAACTTAACTGAAAAAAAGAAAGAAAATATGAGTTAATTCCCCTATAATTGCATAGTACTAAAATACAATTACGGCATGCACAACTTAAAAGAGTATTTAGTCATCATATGTTGAGTGTTTCAATGTATAATACACGTATGTTTTTTTATTGTTACGTATGTGTACATTTAGCTAGCAGATATCTAAAAATAATCGTATAGTACAGTAATTGATTAATTGTGATTAATAACTATTTTAATTAATTGAATATGGTATGATGAAATAGTGATTTATGAGAGTTTATAAACATGGGATAATAATTGGTTCAATCAGATATAGTCTTTAAAATTATCATTACATAAAAAGTTTAACCTTTTGTCCGTTAGCTAGGACGACCGTATTTTTATCTGGCTGGAATTCTGCTACCCTTGTCTTGTATAGTTTACAAGGTTTAGGTAGTATCTCCGCCGTGACCATCTCCGACTGTTGCATTTGTTTGATCCCGCCGCCGACCATCGTCCACATTGATTGATAGTAATGTTTCTAAATATGTACATGAAAAACGTTATGATTGCATAGTTCATCATAGTTTTTTTTGTATAAATCAAAGCACTGAAAGCACTTTGTGTTTTTGTGGTTGTTTTGTTTTCTTTTTTTTTTTTTTTTTTTTTTTTGTTATTGTTGCTTTTTTATTTATTTTATCGGAACCATAAAGTAGTCGGTATTAATTTAAAGTACTAGATACTATTTTTTTTTTTTTTTTTTTTTTTTTTGAAAGTATTATATATGTATATTATTATTTCTTTTAAAAAATGAGACAAGTTTTCCCTAAAAACCGATCTACTGTCTATAAATGATTAAACAAGAAATGGTAGGTGTGAGCACTGTCTGGTCTGGATCTTGTTAATTTAATAAATGACAATAAAAATGAAGAATGAGATATTTTTTTTAGCCAGCCATTTAACTATTCGTTATTTCGGTTACAAGGTACATTTTATTATACGTAATTTTTTTTTGGGGGGGGTTTTTTTTAATTTTATTAAATGTCATAAATAAATGCGCATCTAAGTTTTTTGTTTGTTTTTTCGGGCACATGCTTCAATATCTTGGAAAAAAAAAATTGTTTTTTCTTTATATGTTTTTTTTTTTTTTGGGCAGACAATTTTATCAGATTAAAAAGCATATTTGCTATCAATGAGTGATTTCGTATAAATATTTCATGTATTAGTACAGAATTGAGGTAAATAAGTCTCTGAAACAAGATGGCCAGCCATGTGAACCTCATTTTGAACTTCACACTTTATTTGATAGATTAAATCTTAATACAACAGATCTTGTAAAAATACAGGCCTTCTAATTTTCTGTAACAAAAAAGAACTAAAACAAACAAGAAACGTAAATTTGGTACCGTGTTATTCATACATCGTACGCCAGAAAGCTGCCTCAATTTAAGAAAATTTTAATGTTGTTCATTGTGTCAGGGTTCAGAACTGTTCACTTTTGTGTTAAGTGGCCGGATAGCTCCGTCTGTAGAACCTCGGTACGGTATTCCGAGGGTTCCGGGTTCGAGTCCCGGTCAGGCCGTACATTTTTCTCACCTTGTGACGAATGTAAAAGATTTATTGTGAAATAGTAATTGTATCACAGTTGTATATACTACCTCAGACGGTTCAATGACAGCAACAGTTCCGGGACCGAGTGCACGACATGCACGTGCCGAGACTGAACAACCCCCTGTTCCTCCTCCAGCCACCACCAGCTTGTGATGTATGGTATCATTTCCTCGTGAACTACCGTTACCACGTGCACTGCTGTAACCACGTGCACTACCGTTACCACGTGCACCACTGTAACCACGAGCTACCATCACAAACAGCGTACGTCCTGTGCGTGAAACCATCTTAATTCAATTTCCAGAAATATGATGAAAAACAAAGTTTCTAAACAAATTTGAAAGAAAATACGATTTGATTTTTTTTCACTTCGCATTCATTCTGTCTATAAAGAAAATTAATTTGAATTTAGCTTTGTCCGAAACTATATATTCAATAAGTGTAGAATCCAGTCATATATCCAGTGGGAAAAGAAACAAAAACAACACTAATAATGCATGATAATTCTGGCTGATGCATTTACACACTACTTTCAGCATTGTGCATTTATTACATACAACATGTAAATCTACGTTATAAAATTAGTGCGACGCTTTACATTATGCTGTGAACGTGTGCCCTTCACTTCTCAAGAACTTTACATGATTCATTGAAAAGGAAAAAGTTTAAATGTTTTAAAACCTCGTCTTGGCCTAATTAAGGTTTTGCAGGAAGTTAAAAAGTGTTGGTTATCGCAATGCTTTTGTTTTGCTTGAAACAATCCCTGACTTGAAAGCTTTTTTCGGACGGGTTTGGGGTCGGGGGTAACATTTTATTTGGAGGGGGTGCTCTTGTATTGAGGGGTCACCTTTTGGCATACATACATGTCAGTTTAAATAAGAATTGTATAAACTTAAAATTGTGAAGCTGCTGATGTTTTAAATGATAAATAAATAAAGTATTTTAGCTGGTGAAATACATTTGGTTTTCTTTGAAAATTGAGTTTCACGACAGAGGGGGCGGAAATTGTTTTGAATTAAAAATAAATTTTTTTAAAAATTTCAGTTTTTTCAGACCCCAATTCTACACAAAATAAAAAGTCGAAAAAGATTAATTATTTATTTTTTCATGCCAAACTCATATCAATTTTTTACCTCACACATGATTTTACTAGTGTCATTAAAAACGCGGGAAAATGATCCCATATTAAAAATATCCTGGCTCGGTAGTTTTAAAAAAAATCTGTTTGTTAAATTTTAATAATATTGGATTAAACACATGCAAACATTTTTTTAAATTTTTTGGAATTTTCATAATTTTTTAGGGAAAAAAAGAGTATCTAAAATTTAACCCCCCAGTATAAATATTAAACGGTTTAAATTCTGCACTTTTTTTCAAAATTTTCTTCCGTTTTTAAATTATTTTTCGAAAAGACGGCATAAAAGGACCAAAAAATAGTTTCTATCTGTCCAATTTTAGGATATTTTTTTGAACTCTTTACGTTTACTTTGCACATTGTAATAATCATGTCAAGGCGTAGAAATACAATAACACAAAACAACTACAGTTAATAGCTATATAATTTAGTTCATGTATACATACGCTCTTAATATTGTTACAGATTATTTCACATGCATAGTTTTCATGTTTAAATTGTAGTCATTTTTTTAAAGTTTATACATGTATCGTGTTATTTGCTTTACTTTAGCTATTTATTCATTTAGTAAGTTAGTTAGTTAGTTAGTTAGTTAGTTAGTTACTAACTTTAGTTAGTAAGTTACTAACTTTAGTTAGTTAGTTAGTTAGTTAGTTAGTTAGTTAGTTAGTTAGTTAGTTTGTTAAGTAATTAAGTAGGCAAGTAAGTAAGTAAGTAATAAGTAAGTAAGTAAGTAAGTAAGTTAGTTAGTTAGTTAGTTAAATAGTTAGTAAATTAGTTAGTTAGTTAGTTAGTTAGTTTGTTAGTTAGTTAGTTAGTTAGTTAGTTAGTTAGTTTGTTAGTTAGTTAGTTAGTTAGTTAGTTAGTTAGTTAGTTAGTTAGTTTGTTAGTTAGTTAGTTAGTTAGTTAGTTAGTTAGTTAGTTAGTTAGTTAGTTAGTTAGTTAGTTAGTTAGTTAGTTGTGCAATTAATACGATGTCTTTCAATATTGATCTCTGACTGAAGTCTAATTGAGTTTTAACGGTTTTCACAAAAGATTCAAGTGCGTAAAGTTGACTAAGATTTCGGCGTTCGACAAAAGTACAACATTCAAATAACCCAAGTCTGAATGTAACGGTGGTTCGATATTCCAGCATATCATTCGAAAGTATTTATTTGCTCACATTAAGGGTACTTAAAGAGTTGTCTATATAAGACAATTGAAAAGATTTAATGAATATACTTACATATACAAAAACGATACCGAAATGTCACGTTTTTATTAGTCAACCTCAATTATCTGGTCAGAATCCTCCTTTTTATAATTTACATCAAGCGCCATTCTCTTACAAAGGGAATATTTATTACACTTTTTATGTTCTTAGACTTCTGTGGCCTCAGTCTACTGTGGCCGGCTAGCGTGGTCCAGTGGTTCTACAATTTATTGTACAAGTTTGCTTCTTAAAAAAGAAGCATGCGAGAGGTCATTTTGCAGCTGTTGAAGATTTGTTTATTTCAAAGATATTTTGAGATATTTTTGCATAAATGATTTTACAAAACGGGGAAAATGTATGTCAATCAAATAATTTTAAGTTCCAGTTTTACATTAAAAATGTATATATCATTTGATTGGAATAAACAATATATACAGCTGCATGCCTCCAAAGAAAATCAAACCTGAGGAAAATATGTGCCATTTGCGCCATTTACGCCAAAAAAATCTCCGTTGTGTAATTTAGTCATACCGCTCCAAAACTTTTAGGGGCAGCAAATTTTCGGTACACAGTTCACTCGGTCAAATAAAAGTGCATGGTGATATTGTAGCTATAATGTTCACTGTTACTTTTTTAAAACATTAAATAGATTAAATAATAAAACGCTCTTCAGAAAATAATAATCGAGGTATACAGTTTAAAGGATAAAAACGGAATGAACCATTGTTCGTTGTGTTAAGAAACGTAAATGATATTTTTCGATTTTTCCTTGTACCGATTTGTTCACTTCGATGCTTATTTAGTCGTTTTTTGAAGCGGAGCATGCGCATAACAATTTTTGTAGACTGATTCTAATGATTAAAGGTACTCCACTGAGGTACGGCCGAATGTCACAAAAAAAAGTAAAATTTCACGAACCGATAATTTTTTGTTACCTGCGAGTTAGGGACATTCAAACAGAATCAGTGAAATATTGATATGTGTTCTTTGGATTGGCAAGTCGTTTGAAATACATATTTTCTCCAATTTTGTGGGAAAAGCGTTTAAACACCTTTCAGTTTGCAAATCTGAATAAAAACAACGGTCACGTGATGATTTTCGGGATGACTAAAAAGCGAAACGGATAATTTTTTGTGTATCGGCAGCAACGAAAGTGCGAAACCGGAATATACCAACAATCCATAAATTTAAAAGCAAATAATGGGTTTGTTTGTTAAATTTCTTGTTGTTCACATATGTTCTTGTGAGAAAAATCTTTCAAAAGCAATTTCAATATATTTAAAGCATTACATTGTTGTAATCATGTTTTTTTCTCCATTACAATGATGAACTTTAGCTAAACGTACTGAGTTGGAAACTGACATACACAAATTTTACAAATATTCTATGTTAATTTGAACGCTTTCGTGTAATTATTAAATATTTATGTATTAACTTTTGTAATGGTTAAAATATCATGATATCTAGGCTAAGAAAATTTACTTTGTCAATCAGTGTAATGGGTCCTCTTTCAAAGGTCACTTTGGTTTATCTGACACCCGTTTAGGAAAAAAAAAAAACTTCGTAATACCTTTTTTACAACGAACATGAACTTGAGTATTGTAAGCATAAAAAATCACAGGCACACACAGAATGCTATTCCAGAGATTTTTCTTTAACTCTGATCAAAGCACTGAAAGTACTGGCTTAATAGAGAATGAATCCGGCCTCATTATAGGACATTTAGGCTTTCAACTTTATTAGATAATATTTCTTATGTATGTCTAGTGCACATAATTAAAACTCTTTAAGAAAAAAAAACGATCTCCTTTGCTAGATAGATCTGAAATTTAATATTTATTTCATTTTACATACATACTTGCATATTTATCCGCATTGGATGTAAACTTTGTTGATGAGAAGATCACAACGTTTTGATCTAGACATTCAAAACTATAGGTAATTGATACCTGTTTCATGCACATGGTAAACATTATCAAGAAGGGTCGGAAAAGAGTTACAATCTGGCTTTATTAATATTATTATTATCATTAACTGATTTAGCAGATATCCTGATAAATTTCTTTCTTATTGGAAGGCCTCCGTACTAGTGATGGGTCAATTGAGCTGTGCTTTAATGTTACCAATATATTGAAAAAGCTTCCCGTGGAAAAGAAATTGAGAGCGTTATAAAGAGTAAAAAAGGAAAACTTGAATAAAGACAATCAAGGCGACGGCAACGTTCACATGACGTTCACAGCCCCGACATAGTCAAGCTTCCACAGCAGGGTTATTGCCGTGACTAGTGAAATAAACTTAAAACTGATTATATAGTTGTTGTTCTTTAAACCCTAACTTTCTTTCAAATTAAACGAAACAAACAAAATCATGATACAGCAAGACAAATGTGAAGGGCAGGTAAGTAAAAGTAACTTTAAGAATTCAGTAAGATATTATTAACCTCACCTAATACAACAACCATTGCTTAAACTATGTTTTTATAATACTTCCAACTCCTAGACGGTAAAGGGCAATGCATATCTAAACCATTGTTTTTTACTCCTTATAGCCTGTTTATCATGGCATACTCATTGTTAATAGTTTTTGTAAATGTTTTGATAAAAAAGTCAGGTTCATTTCCCGACTATTTTTGAAAACACGAGTGACTGGTTTCAAAAACTTACAATGGCTAAATATTGATCGGATGCATTTCATTGCATAAATAAGTTAGGGAGAGAACGCTGCTTTTCTTGCTTTATAGCACTAAAACCTTTACTTCTCTCTACTTTTGTTTCTTCTTTCTTCCTGTTTTTCATTTTTGTTGTTTAGTCTTTTTATTTACCACTTGAAAGCCTGAAATTTAATGTTTTCATTGATAATTTAGGCGTGGTCCTGTGTTGCTTGGTCGTGTGGGGTGTTGTATTCATTGAATGTTACCATTCCTTTTGTGTATTTCTGATCGAAGATCAGGAAAATACAAAGCTAACATTCCATCTCTAACACAGCGGTTTTTCACGACAAAAACTAACAACAAACAGTTCTTAAAACAGCTGAAAACTACCGATTTAAAAGAAAGAAAATATTTTCATTTTGTTATAAGTATCCAACAAATTTACAACGCATTTCAAAAAATAGATAAATACAGAATCCCTAAAGAAAGCCCAAACACGGCAAAAAATTGAAAATGTTGCAGGCTCGGTTGATTGAGAGCCTGTTCATGGACGGTACTGGAAAGTGCAAGTTACCGTCC